TTTGCCTAAGGTCACAGGGAGTTATTGTTTTTTTTGAGACAGGGTCTTTTCTCTGTTGCCCAAGCTGGAGTTAAGTGTCATAATCCAGGCTTATTGCAGACTCCAGGCTCAAGTGATCCTTCCACCTTAGCCTCCCAAGTAGCTGGGACTACAGGTGCATGCCACCATGCCCAGCTAATTTTTGTACTTTTTGTAGAGACTGGGTTTTGCCATATTGCCCAGGCTGGTCTCGAACTGCTGGGCTCAAGCAGTCTGCCTGCCTGAGTTTCCAAAGGAGCTGGGATTATATGTGTGAGTCACCACACCCAGCCAATTTTTTTTTAATTAAAAAATAGATCTAGCATAGCTCTGTAAATGAACAAATGTATAGGGGAAAAAAAATGCACATGTGTGAATGTGTGCATTTATTTTAATTCTAATGCTAGGCTAAATGCTTTATATGCATATTATGATTTAATCCTTATGACAACTTTTCAGTATGATTTCTCTTATTTTCTGAGCGAACAGGAATGTCAAATTTATGCATTCTCATTGCTAGTGAATGGCAGCTGAAATTCAAAACCAAATCTGTTTCACTCATTTATTCAGTACATTTTTCACTGAAGTTCCTCTGCTCTTTTAACCATAATGCATTATCGATTTGGAGGAATTTTTTTTTCATGTTTATGTAAAGCTTCATAACAACAATAAGAGACTTTAGGCACACAGAGACAAAGGTACATCCACAAAAGTAGAACATTTGATACTTAGCATATTAAGTGTAGCTTAATGTAGTCTGGATATGATTAGGCTTAATCTGTGTACATCTTTACTTACCAGTTGATATTTTATACAGATGCAAAATCGGATGGTGGTTTTACTTTGTAATCTGAAACCTGCAAAGATGAGGGGAGTATTGTCTCAAGCAATGGTCATGTGTGCTAGTTCACCAGAGAAAGTTGAAATCTTGGCACCTCCAAATGGGTCTGTTCCTGGAGACAGAATTACTTTTGCAGCTTTCCCAGGTAGGTATTCGTATTTATTAGTAATTATTTAATAGTTTTGCAATCAGTTCTCAAAGTGATGTTTGTAATGTTTAAAGATTAAAATCAGTATAAGAATCAAAGTCTTACATTAAATGACCGTTATTGAACATTATTGAGTTTTTCAAGATTGGCTCAAGATGACACATTGAGTAAACCTTATAACCATTCTCCTCCCCATGAATGTACAAGTTGTTTAAAACACCTGATATGGTTTGACTATGTCTCCACTGAAATCTCATCTTGAATTGTGGCTCCAATAATCCCCACATATCATGGGAGGGACCTGGTGGGAGGTTACTGAATCTGGGGGCAGGTTTTACCTGTGCTGTTCTCATAATAGTGAATAAGCCTCATGAAATCTGATGATTTTGTAAAAGGGCAGTTACACTACACACACTTTCTTCCCTTCTGCTATATAATACATGCCTTTGCTCCTCCTTCGTTTTTTGCCGTGATTGTGAGGCCTCTCCAGCCATGCGGAACTGTGAGTCCATTAAACCTCTTTTCTTTATAAATTACCCAGTCTTGGATATATCTTTATTAACAGCATGAGAATGGACTAATACAGTAAATTGGTACTGGGGTGCTGCTATAAAGGTACCTGAAAGTATGAAATCGACTTTGAAACTGGATAACAGGCAGAGGTTGGAACAATTTGGAGGACTCAGAAGAAGATAGGAAAATGTGGGATAGTTTGGGACTTCCTGGATACTTGGAGGACTTGGAAGACAGGAAAATGTGGGAAAGCTTGGAACTTTCTAGAGACTTGTTGAATGGCTTTGACCAAAATGTTGATAGTGATATGGACAATAAAGTCCAGGCTGAGGTAGTCTCAGTGATGAGGAACTTGTTGGAACTGAAGCAAAGGTGATCCTTGCTATGCTTTATCAAAGAGACTGACGGCATTTTGCCCCCTCCCTAGAGATCTGTGGAACTTTGAACTTGAGAGAGATGATTTGGGGTATCTGGCAGAAGAAATTGCTAAGCAGCAAAGCATTTAAGAGATGACTTAGGTGCTCTTAAAAAGCATTCCGTTTTATTCATTCACAAAGACATGGATTGGAATTGGAACATAGGTTTAAAAGGGAAGCAGAACATAAAAGTTTGAAAAGTTTGCAGACAATGCAGTAGAAAAGAAAAACCCATTTCTGTCAGCTGCAGAAATTTATATAAGCAACAAGGAGCCAAATATTATTTGCCAAGACAATGGGGAAAATGTCTCCAGGGAATGTCAGAGACCTTTACAGCAGCCCTTCCCAGCACAGGACCTGAGATCTAGGAGGAAAAAATGGTTTCCTGGGCTGGGCCTAGGGCCCCCATGCTGTGTGCAGCTTAGAGACTTGGTGCCCTGCTTCCCAGCTGCTCCAGCCATGGCTAAAAAGGGCTGAAGTACAGCTCAGTCCCTTGCTTCAGAGGGTGCAAGCTCTAAACCTTGGCATCGTCCACATGGTATTGAGCCTGTAGATGCACGTAAATCAAGAATTGAGGTTTGGGAACCTCCAACTAGATTTCAGAAGATGTATGGAAACCCCTGTATGTCCAGGCAGAAATTTACTTCAGGAGCAGGGCTGTCATGGAGAACCTCTACTAGGGCAGTGCAGAAGAGAAATGTGGGATGGGACCTCCCACACGGAATCCCCACTGGGGCACTGCCTATGAGAGCTGTGAAAAGAGGGCCACTGCCCTCCAGACCCTAGAATCATAGATCCACCAACAGCTTCCGCTGTGTGCCTGGAAAAGCCTCAGACGCTCCAGCCTGTGAAAGCAGCTGGGATGATGGCTATACCCTACAAAGCCACAGGGACGGAGCTGCACAAGGCCTTGGGAGCCCACCTCTTGCATCAGCGTGACCTGCATGTGAGACTTGGAGTCAAAGGAGATCATTTTGGAACTTTGAGGTTTAGTGACTACCCTACTGGATTTCAGACTTGCATGGGGTCTGTAGCTCCTTCATTTTGGCCAGTTTCTCCCGTTTGGAATGATGTATTTACCCAATGTCTGTACCTCCATTGTATCTGGGAAGTAACTAACTTGCTTTTGATTTTATAGGCTCATAGGCAGAAGGGACTTGCCTTGTCTCAGATGAGATGTTGGACTGTGGACTTTCAGTTGATGCTGAAATGAGTTGAGACTCTGGGGGACTGTTGGGAAGGCATGATTGGTTTTGAAATGTGAGGACATGAGATTTGGAAAGGGCCCGGGGTGGAATGATATGGTTTGGTTGTGTCCCCAGCCAAATCTTATCTTGAATTATAGCTCCCACAATTCTCATGTGTCATGGGAGGTACCTGGTAGGTGGTCATTAAATCCTGGGGGAAGGTTTTTCTTGTGCTGTTCTCATGACGTGAGTAAGTCTCATGAGATCTGATGGTTTTATAAAAGGGCAGCTCCACTTCACACACTCTCTTCCTTGCTGCCATGTAAGGTGTGCCTTTGCTCCTCTTCTGCCTTGGCAGTAACTACTGCCATGGCAGTAACCTTCTGCTATGATTGTGAGACCTCCCCAGTCAGGTAGAACTTTGAGCCAATTAAACCGCTTTGCTTTAGAAATGACCCAACCTTGGGAATATCTTTATTAGCAGCATGAGAACAGACTGACAGAGCCCCATGGAGAGCAATAATGTCCTAACTAAAGCAATAATATTAATACCAGCATAGCAGAAAAGTATGACATGGATAGAGAACAGATTAATGTGATGCAAAATCAGTTATGCTATAGATTGTCTCATGCTGCAGCACAGAAAGAGATGAAAAGTTTAGATTTAAAATTATAAATTCCATCTAATAATATACTTGCACATGTTTTTACTCAACTTCAGTATACAAAGAAAATATCTAAGTTAAAATGTAATAATTTTAATAATCTAAAAGGAAGTTTCATTTTGTATTGCCTGTTTTCTCTAGTAATAATACTCCTGATACAAATGAAGCTTCATAATGTATGAGAAAGTTTCTTCAAATAGGTCTTTGAAGCAGAAGAGAAAGGATTCTTGGCAGATATGGAATAAGTATTTATTTCATGTAAGTGGAAGGACCTGATAAGAAGAAAAACAGAAATTAAAAAACTTCATTTAAAGGATATCTATTTGACTAGAGTAATTGGAAAAGCAGAAATAAATGAGGATAACAAATAGAATTAGTTCAAAAGTTAAATGACTGAGGATTTTTTTGTGTGTGTGAGTGAATTATTTTTTAATAGTGCAACAAAATTTAAGTTTTCTTTTTTTTTTTTTTTTTTTTTCAACTTTTAGGCTCAAGGGATACATATGCAGGTTTCTTATATTGACAAATTGTATTTCCTTCAGATTTAGTGTAGGAATGATGCCATCACCCATGTAGTGAGCATAGTACCTAATAGGTAGTTTTTCAACCCTTACCCTACCCTTACCCCACTCCCAGCCTCCCTTCTAGTAGTACTCAGTGTCTTTTGTTTCCATCTTCCTGTCCATGTATACTCAATATTTAGGTTTAGCTCTCACTATTAAGTGAGAACATGCTGTATTTGATTTTCTGTTCTTCTATTGAGTTACTTATGATAATGGCTTCCAGCTGCATCCATGTTGCTGCAAAGGATATAATTTTCTTCTTTTTTAAGGCTGCATAGTATTCCATAGTATATATGTACCACATTTTTTTTTATCCAGTCCACTGTTGATGGATACCTGAGTTGATTCGATGTCTTTGCTAATGTGAATAGTGCTGCAGTGAACATATGAGTGTATTTGTCTTTTTTGTAGAAAGATCTATTTTTCTTTGAGTATATACCCAGTAATGGGATTGCAGGGTCAAATGGTAGTTCTGTTTTAAGTTCTTTGAGAAATTCCAAACTGCTTTCCACAGTGGCTGAACTAATTTGCATTCTCTCTTGTCTTCCACCTCGCCAACATCTGTTATTTTTTTGTCTTAATAATAGCCATTCTGATGGATATGAGTTGGTTTCTCATTGTGGTTTTGATTTGCATTTCTGTGGTGGTTAGCGATGTTGAGCATTTTTGATATTTGTTGGCGGCATATATGTCTTCTGTTGAGAAGTATCTGTTCATGTTCTTTGCCAATGTTTTAATGGAGTTATTTGTTTTTTGCTTGTTGAATTAAGTTCCTTATGGATTCTGGATATGAGAACTTTGTTGGATGCATAGTTTTCTAATATTTTTTCCCATTCCTTAGGTTGTCTGTTTATTCTACTGTTAGTTTCTTTTGTTGTACAGAAGCTCTTTAGTTTAATCAGCTCCCACTTGTCAACTTTTGTTTTTGTTGCAATTGCTCTTAGAGACTCAGTCATAAATTCTTTGCCAACGGTGATATTGAGAAGGGTATTTCATATAATTTTTGTCAAGAGTGATATTGAGAAGGGTATTTCCTAGCTTTTCTTTTAGGATTTTTACAATCTTAAGTCTTACATTTAATTCTTTTTTTTTTTTTTTTCTCATGCCATGGTGGTTTGCTGCATCCATCCTCTCATCACCTACATTAGTATTTCTCCTAATGTTATCTCTCCCCAATCCCCCCACCCCTTGCTATCCCTCCCTTGGCCCCCTCACCCCCCAACAGACCCCAATGTGTGATGTTCCCCTCCCTGTGTCCATGTGTTCTCATTGCTCAACGCCCACTTATGAGTGAGAACATGCAGTGTTTGATTTTTGTTCTTGTGTCACTTAGTTGAGAATGATGGTTTCCAGATTCATCGATGTCCCTGCAAAGGCCATGAACTCATTCTTTTTATGATTGCATAGTATTTCATGGTGTATATGTGCCACATTTTCTTTATCCAGTGTATCTTTGATGGGCATTTGGGTTGATTCCATGTCTTTGCTATTGTAAACAGTACCACATTGAGCATATGTGTACATGTGTCTTTATAATAGATCGATTTATAATCCTTTGGGTATATATATAGTAATGGGATTGCTGGGTCAAATGGTATTTCTAGTTCTAGATCCTTGAGGAATCACCATACTGTCTTCCACAATGGTTGAACC